TTACAGTCTGTCCAGTCTCTAGGTGTGAGTCTGCTCAGAGTTGTGAGGAGGGAGAGATGTCGATCAACCTGTAATACAATGTGTGAGCACATAAAAGTAATATCCCTATGCTTTTCACTATTCCTTTATGTCCAGATGAACCACAGGATCAGACAAGGATGAGGAAGCCCACGTGTCTAAAGTGTGCGCTGTGAGAAAAATCTCAAGAGCGCAAAAAAATTGTCCGGGTAGGGGTATATGGGTATAAGTGGCAAAATGCTCTCACACTCTTCCCACAACCTCGATCTCTAAAACAAATGAGAAAAAGTCTCAGTCTGGTAATCACCGGTCTCGGCACAGCAGTAACACCGCGAGGGGAAGGAAACCCCCGTGCCTGCAACACAGAGTCGACCGAAATCCGGTGCAAAAGAAGGCGCCAAAGAAAGACAGAGATGGTCGGGGCAAGCAGGTCGATCCAAATAGCTCCGAACAGAAGGTTAGGGCGGTCACCTAACCGTACTTTCCCCCAAGCTGAGGTCATAGAACATGCACCCGAAGATATAAGTCTCCACCTCATATCGTCTCAACTATCCTCCGAGATGAGAATCTGTTGGATCTGCTCTAATACCTGGTCACTAAAACCCGCTCCAGCACCCAACACCCTCTCTAACCTATCCCTATCCGCGGCCCCATCAGTCCACAGGTCCTTCACTCGCAGGAAAGGAGAGTGAGTGACTTGCCTAGTGCTCGAAAAGGGCCCCTCACCAAACCATCACTCGTCCCAAAAGCTAACATCCCCCTCACCCAGCGTCCATAAGATGTGCTCCTGGGCCCGCCTACCTACTCTGGTGAGCCGCCTCCACTGTCTACTATCATGAACAATGTGAAATGAAAAATTGCCAGGCTAATCGACTTATATATTTTCTTAATAAAAATACATACTTATAGTTTTTGAACAAAAATCAATACTTTTACAAAATATCACCTTCAATAAAAACTATATATAGCTATTCATAAAAAACTTACAAACAAAAAAAATAATACAATTTAAAAAATCAATAAAAAAATAAACTATAAACCACCAATTCTTAAAATAGTTCCAATAAAATAAAAATAAATTTGCAGCCAACTCCAACTCAATAAAACTATCTCTGCCCAAATTGTTATTTCGACTCCCATTTNAAACATGTCCGGAGAGAAGAAAATAATAGAGATCTATCAGTATCTGCCACGTGGATTATAAGCCTATAAACGAATGCAAACCTATTTAAATTCCACTCTTCATTCTGCCTTTTCAATTTCGCCCCTTTTGTCTCTCCGCCGTTGCTCCGCCATCTCTCTCTCTAGAAAACCTTCACAGTCAAATCATCCGTTCATTTTCACCGAGATTACTATTCGTGCTCTCTCAATTTGTGCGCTGCACTTCGAAATTCCCGAAAATCAGTAAAAATGGCAAGCGCTACGACCAGCAATGTCTACATCCACGTCATCGAGGACGTCATCAATAAGGTCCGCGAAGAGTTCATCAACAACGGCGGCCCAGGAGAGAACGTGCTCAATGAGCTCCAAGGAGTAATGATTTCTGAATTATTATTCAATTGAATGTTCTGTTGTCAATAAACTTTAGGGTTTTAGGGAAAATGGGTATCTCGTGGAGCGTTGTTGGGGGGCATTTGTGAATTATCGTGTTCCGTATGATTGATATGGACTTGGGGAGTTTTTTAGGGTTGCGATCTTTTGGATTTGTGGTTGGATTTGGTTTTTCATTGAGCTTTTAATGTTTTAAATCTGCAGTTGTGGGAACTGAAGATGATACAAGCTGGAGCAATCCTGGGTCCCATAGATAGGTCAGGTGCACAAAAAGGCGTGGCAGGTTGTCAAATCACACCTAATCCTGTGCATGACCTCAATGTACCCTATGAAGGCACCGAGGAGTATGAAACCCCCACTGCTGATATGCTCTTTCCTCCGGTAAGGGCTAGTTTTTTTCTCAGTCTCCCTGCTCCATGTGGATTTTTTTTTTTCCTTGGCCTGTGATTAAAAGTTTTGTTCGTTCTCTGTTTGGGTGTGTTTGTAGACTCCTCTGCAAACTCCTATGCAGACTCCCTTGCCCGGAACAGCACAGACACCATTGCCGGGAACAGCTCAGACACCATTACCTGGAACAGCTCAAACACCTCTCCCTGGAAGTGAGAGTGGTTCAATGTACAATATTCCCACCGGTGGCACCCCAATAACCCCCAACGAGTATACATATACTAATGAAAATGGTGGGGCTGCTGAGATAAAAACTGGACCTGGACGACCTAGTCCGTTTATGGTATGGTTGCTTCATCATCCTTTTTGTTGTATTTTTTTTTTTATTAAAGACAATAGATCAGAAATTTATTTCTTCTTATTATTATTGTTATTTATTATGCAATTATTTGTCTGTTGTTATGTTCTAAATAGGAAATTCCAGAGTAAAGTCGGTGAGAAATATCTGCAATTTTATTTCATCTCGCTAGGTGGAAAAATTGATTCTTTTTCTTCCTTTTCTTGTTTCTCAGCAGCCACCATCGCCTTGGTTAAGCCAAAGGCCTTCTCTTGATGTTAATGTTGGTGAGTATGACATGTAGATGAACATTATGGAATCATATATACATAGGGATGGAAGAAGTATTGTGTCAATATCGAGGTGAACTGGACAAATGCAGTTTAATAATATCTCACTCCTTTTTCTTGTAATAATTCTTTTTGCAGCTTATGTGGAAGGTAGGGAAGAGGGTGAGAGGGCAGCACCCAATCAGCCTGCAACTCAGGTATGGTCAATCATCTTTAAGATTGAGTCAGCTGTACTTAACATGACAGTCAACCACCTAGCCACATTATATATAACTCATTCTAGCTGCTGACTATGTTCATTTTCTTCCTCTAGAGAAGTAAGCAAAAAAGGGGAGATAGATGGTGAGGTAGTACTTGGATATTATCTCATTTCATTTTCACTCTGTTCATGAAATATCATGCAAAATGTTTATAAAAAGAAAAGAACTTCATTCACTCTCACTTATTCTCATATTATTCTCAAGTCTCCACTCTTTGAGAAAGAACAAACCATTCTCGTTTCTTCATGAATTTGACTTTTCATGCACTCAAATTTCTCTTACTATCGATGATGTCCAATCAGTATTTTGTTTCATGTAAATTTATTGTGACATTTATCCTAAATCAATCACACTACTAAAATTAGTACACTTTTATTTTTAGAATGTCCCCCCACTATTTTCCAGCAAAATATGTATTTTCTAATTTTAACCATATCTAATGGAAACTAAATTTCTTATTGTCTTGTGTTTTTGGGTAGTTATCAGGGTTTTGCTGATCTATACTTGTGGAACTCGTTAAAAATTAGTGAGGCTTTGACCACCTGGCACCCAATATGAAAATTTAATATTGCATTTGATTAATGGATATAACAATGTGCCATAGTCCAAGGATTTCGTATCTGTGAAATTTACATTTGTATTTTGTGTTCCTTGTAATGTTACAGACACTGCATTCTGACCCTTTCATCAGATCATAGATAAATGAAATTTCTTGGTTAGCCTATCAAGTATATGGTAATAGAATGGCCAAGTTTTACTGTGGGCTCCCTTGAAAAGCATGGTGGGAGACTTGATGAATATATTGCTCCCATTTGTTGTTTTGGGAGGATATTACTTTAGCCTTTGAGATTTTTGGTGAGTTCCCACTTCTTGACTCTACTCGATTAGATATCTTTGCGAGTGATCTGCCAAGTTGGGTTTGAACAGGTCAAGCCATGCATGGTAAAAAAGTTAAAACTTGATATTTAAGATTCAGTATGATATGTATTGTTGTCAATAATTGACCGTGTGATTCCAAATGCTTATGTGCATGCATTTTAACATCACTTCAATATTTCATATATCGTATGAATTTATGCAGTTGCATGGATACTTTACGTGTTACAGAATCACGGGCAGGCTAAATTTGCACTTTGATCACAATTATAAAAAGATGGTGTGAAAAGAATTTTAAGTTTGTGCTTTATCAAAAGTCGACATTGTTTATGTCCTTTAAGATTTTGACAAATATTACTGTTTGTTTGAATTACCAAACTATTTATTCGAGTTTGAAAGATATGGGTAATGTAATAAAATAAACTGCCTTTTTCTTCCAAAAGAATACATTTTTGTTCCACAAACCATTATTGCGATTGTGTAGGGATATGTTATTGATAGTACTAATAGTGTTACATAATTATCCTTTGATTGAAGAGAAGAAATTGACAGGCTGGCACAGTTGAGAACGTATTTTGCTTTCCCTTTAAATTATACTCATCCAATAGTAAGACTCTTGAGCTATGAGTACCTATGTTTGGTCTCAGCCCAGTTTCTTGGCTGGCTCAAGGTGAACTATAGTTTCGTAATTTTTTGTGCGACTCTTGTATCTCTAGATAGAATTAGATAAAGTATTAATGAATATAAAATTTGAAATACTGGGCAGTGAAAGCTGCTGGATGAGTCTGCGGGGACAAGTCTTGTTAGTTTTCCAATGAATTATGTGGGCTATTGTATGATTTCTGATCTAGTGGGTGGATTCTTTTCATTTTCTCTTCATATATTTGTCAACGGACTCTAACTTGAAGATTCATTCGCTAAATGTCATGTCGACTTTCTCAATATTATACTTCTCCTACAACAAGGATGCATTTTTTAGTTGTTTTATGCTTTCTAGAGCTAATCAAATCTTGTTTATATGTTTCTTTGAAAATTTCCCTTTTTAGCCAAAGCTTATTAGAAAGGGAAATGAACAATTAATAGTTAATATTTTGAGTTTAATAATTAAAATATAACAAGGAAAAACTTTCCTATACATGATTAACTCCGTAAGTATAGAGATCATTGTGGGAACTAACTTTATAGCAAGAAATTAAGCACGGGGATGATATTTGAATGTTTGTTCATTGGCTCAATTGTTTGCTGAAGTTTCTTTTGCCATTGAAAAAATTATTATTTCCATATGTAGAAAGGTATAACATTCACTGAATAACGACTAGTTTTTATGCAAAAGCTTTTTGGAGAAAAAGAGGGAGAAAACAAGATATCCTTGGAAGGGTTATTTCACACCGTTCCTACTGAATCAGTTTATAATTGCGTTTGACATAATGCTAGAATATAAATGCAGGATTTCTTCATTCCTTCCGGAAAGCGAAAACGGGATGATATCCCTCCACAATACCAGGCTGGTGGGTACATCCCCCAGCAAGATGGAGCTGGGGATATCTTTTCAGATGAATTGAAGGTAGATTTTTTTCATGCATAATTTGATCCTTGTATTTATTGCTAAGATGCCTGCTGTTTGTTTGTCGAATAATGAGTTGATACTCATTTCTTTGTTTTGAAGTAAAATTGTGTCATAATCGTGCTGAACTGGTGTAATGTGGTTCTCCATATGCTGTAGGTTGTCTCGTTGATTATTACTTATTTGCATGCAAATTGTGAAGGCACTACAAGAACTTTTAAGTTTTAACGCATATAGTGGCTAAAACCAAAATGCATATATTCAAGAACACTAAGTTGCTGTTCTTTCCCATTTCAACAAATAAGTACTACAAATAGAAAGGAAAAAATAAATAAAAAATAAGAAGAAAAGGGAAGTAAAGACGTGCTTCCTTATCTCAAATTGCTTTAGTATACTTAGTTCATCACTAGGGAAATATACTTCATGATTCTCAACTTTATCTTTGTTACTCATCTTTGAGATCCTTACCAAAATGATTTGCTTCCGGTTTCATTTGAAATGTTACAAAAATAGAATAAGGCCATGTAAATTGTAGTACATATAATTTGTGAGTAGTTGCTAAAAGATTAGCTTTAGCCTTTAGGTTTAGAAAATCAATATGATAAATGCAACTAGTTAGGAGAATCCCACCTATTTTTTTATTAAAGTTGGTGTTGGAATATCACTTGTGAGTTGTCCCACATTGATTCTATAGGGAAAATGTGTCTAGTTTATAAGTCTAGTGGGCTACTCTCATCATCAATTGGTTTTGTGATGGAACCTTACTAAGCTGACAGCTGGGCTCACCCTCTTAAGGTCGGCTTCACCCGTATGAGACCATACCCTTTTCCCTAACTATATAAATCTAACAATTGGAAACAGCCATTATAACCTAATAAATTGCTATCAAAATGATACACAAAATCCAATTCTACTGAAAAGCAATAACTTAAAACATGAGAAGATGCATGAACTTTAGGAAGGAAATAATTGTATGAGCTTGTTTTCCCGGTTAAAATCTAGATGTATAACAGTATAAGATCAGGTTATCTTTGCGAATAATTTACTTTTTGGGGTGGAAGCTATCGAAGTGAATGTAGACTGGGTTGTTTGTGGAAAGTGTAATCCTTGGATTCCAATTTTAGCTGCAGCATGGGTGTGCAGTGGAGTCCAGGTTTAACAGGCCAAACAAGAAAAAAGTAGCTGTTAGGTGTGAATGAATTTAATAGAGTAAATAAAATAAAAGGTGTATTAATATTCTTAAGAGTTCAATTTTGTTTTGTTTTTATCTTAACTTAGGAGGCTAACATGGGAGTATAAACATAGTTATAAACGGTGAAAAGGTTTCACCAAGGCGCAAGGCCTCCTAGAGAAGTATTTAACTTTTCCTTTTAGATTATAAACAAGAAAATATACAAATACAACTGACATTATTTTTTAAACACGGAACTCATGAATTTCATTACACCAAATTAAGCACGTGGCATGAAATTTGACATAAAGGTTGGCAAAAAATGGTGTATAAGTTTAATGATTGCTGATTTTGAGGCCTGATGTTTAAAACAACATGATCTCGCCACGTATGTATTATGTGAAAATTTCTGTCATCCATTATTTTCATATAGCATGATTCAAACATCAAACAGAAAAAATAATGATTTCAGTGACCTAACTATGATTATGAGCTGATGTAGTGGTATAGCTCGTATTTTCGTGCACATAGCAACTGATTAATTGACATATATCCGTAAGGTAATTACTTGTGACGCGTTTGACAACTCGCAGCGGGCGCCATAACGTGTGATGGCCCACAACTCTAACAACTTTAAGTTTTGAGATTCACGAGCCCCCAATTATAGTTCTAGTTATCGTATTTCTTTTACAGAATTCTCTCAATTTTCAACTTGTTTCATCTACCCACAGGTTGCTTCCTCTGTGCTACATTATCTTCTCCAAGCTGCATTCTTATTTAGTAAAAACTAGTACATGCCAGTCATTGACGAGTTCTAACATATTGCAAAAAGTATGTAGTTTTTAGATGTTGGTGCCTGGTAGGTAAATTTACTTTCTCTTTGTTGCGTTATAGTTTCTTGCCTAATTTTATGGGTTAACTATTTTTCAACGTCCTGTGTTATGTGAGTTCTCTATCGACTGCAGCTTCACAAACGAATAATTGTGTTATGATAGGTAACTCATGGGGATGTTCAGCAAATATTTGTTCAAACGGGAACACTGTCTTTCAGAATATCTCAGTTGGATGGTCCCATACCTGATCCATATGATGATGTACTTTCAACACCCAATGTGAGTTGCCCTCCTGTAATGTTGTAGTATGCTGATAACATGCAGGCACACAAGTTGTAAGATTGGTCTATGGTATTACGATCACAAATTAGTAATTTCACGTTTTTAATGTTCACGGTTCATCAATATCTTCATAATCAACTTCACAGGGTTGGGTGGGTATGGACTTCCTTTAGTCCCTAGGCTTTATGGGCTTGTATTTACTGTTTCTTTTTTTATTAGCTGAACCGACTAAATAAAAGAAGAAAAATCGTAATTAAGAAATTTAATGATCGAATATGTCAAAAATGCCCTGTTCTGTTCAGGTTTTTTGCATATAAGTTATAGTGATATTCGGATTAACGTTTGGTTCCCTTATTGTTATGAGTGTGTCATCTATTGCAGCCCTTCTTTCAGTTCAATATTTTATTTCTGCTTCGATGTTTTCTTTTTTATGCATCTGTAGTATTAGGAGAAATGTAAGTTTTGGAAAAAACGTCATAGTCATTCTGTGGTATTTCTTCTCTTCGACAGAAGCTCAGTTTATGCTCATTCAAACAAATATAGTTTGACCAGGTCTCTTATAGCTGTCCCTCTTTTTTGCTTTGCATCATGTATTCTTCGAATCTGGGGATAATTTGACAAGAAACTCCTTGTTAATTTTCAATTTATGGCAAATAAGCTATTCCTTTTCGGCATTACTGCCACCTGCTTACATTTCTAGTCATGTTCAAGAATTCGAGATAAATCTACTGTAATTTTAAGGCAGGAAGCTTTGTAATTGGCTGACTTGACTTTGAAGGCCGTGTCATATCAGTTGAGAAAAATTTAACTGTGTTGGGGCTTAAATTTATACTATAAATTTGCAAAGTTATTGGAGTAATTGTCGAATACGTCCGTTTTAGAATTTGCTGCAATACCTGGGTATCAGAGTTTCAATTATGCATTCATGTTTTGTTGGTAGTTTGTGTACCTTTCTCCTCTTGTTATTGTCTACTCTATATTCTCTCCCTTATTTTGTCACTAATCTGTATTTTCTCTCAACAATATTATCTGCGTAATAAGATTTTTCCGTCATTTACTATGCTCTTTGCCTAACTTGGTTCTCCCATCCTTATTTTGTTAGATATACAATTATCAAGGAGTTGTCAATGAAGATTACAATATAGTGAACACCCCAGTGCCAAATGGTAACACTGATGATCTAATTTATCTCACTCGGCATGTCTTAAAACTGATTAAGCTCCGATGTTGATATCCTACCACATCTGCACTTCCAGAGATGCTAGCAGCAACTCCAGCTCCTGTACTGAATGAAAATGGGGATGATGATGATGAAGATGAACCCTTGAATGAAAATGATGACGATGATTTGGATGATGGAGACCAAGGCGAGGATCTGAACACATCACATTTGGTTCTAGCTCAGTTTGATAAGGTACTGACAGCAAGTTTTCAACTTTTCCCTATTCTCTCTCATTTTTTTTAGACCTCATTAATATGGTTATTTACCTTAGGTAACAAGAACCAAGAGCAGGTGGAAATGCACATTGAAGGATGGCATAATGCACATAAATAACAAAGACATTCTGTTCAACAAGGTACTCAATTTTTTTTTTTTTTTTTTTTTTANTTTTTTGCTTTTACGAAGGTCTTTGACTCGTTCTGATTTATGTGCTCATTCTTTACAAAAATGAGAATTTGACTTGTGTTACGGCTGCTGGTTTTTCTACTTTAGGCAACCGGAGAGTTTGACTTCTGATTTTGTTGAGGAAAAGCGAGGTGGTACTCGGTTTGGTTGAAAACCAGAGATTTTTTCTTGTCTTGTTCAGTCTCTTTGGGTCCCTCCAATGAACTAAGAACCCAGAAAACTGGTATCGTTTGTGATGGCCTGATGTACATACAGGGTTTTTGGTTCCTTTTATGTGTTTAATCCGTAATGAGTCTCCATAGCATCTCAATTAACCTTGGAAATCCTGATATTGATGCCAAAATTGCTTCTCTATTGCTTAAATTATACTAGATGTGGTTGATTTTCTGCAATCACTGCGATATAGCTTTTCTCCATTTCCAAATTTTCTTGCATATAGTTTGTAATGCACGTGGCACTCCAAATTCACCATCTAATAAGTTTATGATTATTAGAAAGTTATAAACTAGGGGAGAATTTGACCATAATGCCCATATTGGTCCTTTCCGTCGGATCGAACACGCACACACACACACACACACACACATACCTGCGTGGGTATGTGTTGGTCTAACAGTTCTGAAACTATTGTAGGCACTAGATTCACCAGCTCCTTTAAAACACTGTCTTGGTACCGTAGAACATGTGTTTTTCTAGTGATCTTCACAAAACCTCTTTGTGAAAACTTCGGTTAGAAGTTAGAACACAACTGAGCATGTGTTTTTCTATCTACTTTTACAAAACCTACTATCTTCGGTAAAGACAGTCACACATGTGGTTTATGACTCATACTTTTCAAATAAAATCTCTTACTACTAGGATTTATCATATTTAAAATTATGAAAGTAAATGCTTTTGGGAAGTATGAATTTTGAGTTTGTAAACAAATTTGAAAATAGTCCAATTGAAGGATATCGTCTTAGCGGGATCAGTCTTATGTTTTTAGCAATATATGCGTACAATACGTTGATACGTGTTCTATAAACATATTCTGAATTATTTACATATTGACACGTGTTTTAAATTCGTATACATAATAGGTGGATTAAGGGATTCATTCGTTGGTTCATATGACTTCTGTCACTAATATTTTTTTAATGAACGAAGAACGTATCCATAATTATATAAAAGATAAGTTGTAGCTTAAAAACTAGAGATTCTTTATAGAAAGTAGCTGGGCATATTGTAAACGATTCAGCTCGAGCCTTTAAAGAGCCAAATCCTTAACGAGCTTATAATCGAGCTCAAGTTCGGTTCGTTTATATTAACGAGCCGAGCTCGAGCCAAAATCGAGTCAAAATATAAAAAATACATAAAAATAATCTTTTCGAATCTTATCGAGCAGCAGACATTAACTGAACTAGCTTTAAATGACCTCAAGCTCGGCTCGTTTATCAAACGAGTCGAGCAGAGTTCGAGTTTCAATGAGTCGAGCCAAACTCACGAGTAGCTTTCAATTTAACAGCTCTAGCCTCTAGGCATATGATGCCAAGGATNAAACAAACAAGTGATATAGGTATACTGTCAAGGATGTATGAACAGAAAGGAGGCAAAAAAGGAGATGAGAAGAAAAGAAAATGAAGAAAGAGGAACTGTGTCGACTTCGAGAGGAGAGACGTCGGAAAAAGGGACGTTTGATGTACGATTAACCTTATGTGTGTTTATTTTGTAGTTGCTAGCACTTGTAAGTATATAAATGACTTTGGCCAAATTGACTTCTCGCTAGTCCTGTTCTTCTATCAATGACTTTGGCCAAATTGACGAATCATCGTGGAGGTATTTCAGACAGCAAATCTAAGGAAAACATGCATCTAGTCTGTTGTAGGGATTCTTTTCTCCAAGCGTTTTAGAGGAAAATAGTTTCATGTTTTTCAGCTGAGACACTCATGGTAGAGTTCATAATCGTGTACTACGTTAAGCATCGATACTCTGGCTGTCGATGACTCTTGTTGTGGCAGGTGAATATTCGTTAATTTTTTTTTTTTCCTTTTTTTACATCAAATTAACAAAGGTTCAACCGGTCTAGTGTCTTGCTTTCAAACATTCATACCCAACCAACGAGCAGCGAAGAAAAAAAAGCAGAGAAAAAAAAATACGAACATAGATGAATGTTGCACAGAATGATATAAAATGCAATGGCATGTCTCGTGATAATATAATTAATAATCACCTTACCATTATAACCTTCCCGATTTTCTCTCGAATAGGAAAGCAATTTAGATCAATGGGTCCCACGGTAATATTTTGTAATACGTAACGAAGTCTTTGACTGATAAAAACAGTATTATAAAAGCAGCCTGCTGTCACTTGATATGAGACTCCCAAGTCGATACCTCACCAATAACTCCATTCAGCACGCTGTTGAAGGGCTCGGCATTTTGGATTCCAATGGTTGATCCTGATATCTCGTTATGTGTAGAGTTATTGTCTCCAATATGTGGGGCCATTATTGGGGGCCCTATGAAGCTTGTGTTGTTATTAGCGTAGTCTTGAGGGACGGTCAAGTAATTTTGAAGGAGATGGCTCAAACTGGAGGTCAATGAGCCACGAGCAATCATATCTTCAGCTAGCTTCACCTGAATATATATATATATATAGTACAATGTGAATACATAAGAGAGAGAGAGAGAGAGAGAGATCTAAACAAGAGATTCGATGTGTTTGAGTGTCTTAATTAACAGGAAAAAGGGAATTTGAAGCAAAAGGAAAATGAGGGAATTAACTCTTAGTTTATTTCATCATGGAAATATAAAACATTAACAGTAACTAAACAAATAAGTCTTAACTAAGGAATAGTAGTACTCTACCTTGGCTCTAAGAGCTTCAACATCAGATCTAAGAACTCGGTTATTAGTTGTTGAGTCTTTGAATCTCTGAGTAGCATCCACAAGTTGTTTGTACAATGCAGCATTCTCTCCTCGTAATTCCTCGGCCTTTATTAAAGGTCCGTCAAAAATAATGGGTCATTAAGAAATACTAATAATAGGATGAGTGATGTAAGAAGTTTCTAGGTGTAAAAAAAAATAAAATATATGGGTAATGCAAGCAAATGATTAGCCAATGCATACTAAATAACTTCATTTTATGTGCTTGCAATTGATATCATGCTGGGATTCTATTAGTCTGAGCGACTGCTTGTTGAGGAAAAATTCCATGCAAAAAATAAATGTCACACTTTACGGATGTGTTGCAATTTTCTTCTTTTGTTTAATTTTTTGTCAAGTAGTGTATTGGAAATATGTCATCTGAAACAACACGAATATTTGGAGTATCGGTGCATAACTTGCCAAAGATGAACACATATAAATGGTAAGAAGTATACATTTGGTCGTGTATTATCAACTTTCAACTATGAATAAAGAGCAACGACTATATAATGGTACCTGTTTTTCAAGATCTGTCAAATGTGCCTGCTTTCTTCTTCTCGACCGCCGAGCGGACTCTCTATTAGAAACCATCCTGAAAAATTCACATCACTCTATGTAAGGCTTGTTGCGCTACTCGCAAGTCCTCGGATAATAAGAACTTCTGCGAAGCTCTTTTTCTTTTCTTTTTAATAACGGGAAATGATTCAGAACCGGCTTTTGTTTAACGAGGGTTTCCTCTTTAAAAAAAGTTCAGATTCTTTTATTTAACAAGGGTTTTTGAACACTTTCTACATGCCTTTTGAAGCGCTTGATATCTATAGGACTTTTGTTTTGCTCGCAAGAACCGGCTTCTGTCTCAATGTCAAAATCATCATCTGATTGCTCATCACTGCTATCTTCAACTACTTGATTATCTCCCCCCTTTGAAACATTTGCCGATAATGGGCTACCAGCTGCAAACGTGAAAGCAATTCCGGAAGTTTGTCATGTGACATAAAGATTTGAAACAACATTCACCAAAAGAATAGGCAAAATTAAAATTTGGTTGGCAATTGGATATGAAATAAAATACATTTTCATCTCATTGGAGAAAATTTTCTTAAAAAGCACACTACTCATAAATTTCACAAGTTCTTACTTCCATTTTGATTATACAATTTATAAAATTAAAAATCATTTGTTACTACACAATTCACTATGAAATTTACTATTTATCCATTTACTTATCCATTTACATATTTCTGAATCTCACTCATTATTTATCATCATATCACTTTAATTACATTTTCATCATACTTTTCATACTATTTTTTTCTCCATAAAACATCTTTCCTCCAGTGAAATAAAAAATTTCAACAAAAGCATATCCAATCGCTCTTTAAGACTTTTGTTGAAGTTAATAAATGGCCATTTCGGTTGTAAGTATAAAAAACAATTATCAAAGGCATATTTATTTCATAAAATTGCAAAAAGATCATTGAAATTTGTTTCTAGTTTGCCAAATTGCACCTATTGAGGGGTATGTAACTTCGAAAAATTTGAAATTTAAGGAGGAATTAACAATCTTTCGTCTTATTTTGAGTACTGGAATTGTTCGGACAACCCATTAGTAGAATACTGCCGTATCATTCACATACCGCATATAGAAGATTGTGAGTCAATCGGTAACGAGAACTTTGACTGTTTGGCATAAAGACTTTGAGAACAGATTGAAGTGTTACCAGCAAACGAATTAGAACCCGAGAATTCTTTGAGTTTTTCCTGACATTTTCAGAACAAGCATTATTATAAGTAGTTTTCTAAATGAAATAAACACACTGCAGAAAAGCGTATCATAGTTAAAACCTAAAGTTTTATATCAAGGAAAGAGAAGAATCTAAGTTTTATTGAACCTTAATCTTCAAACACAGATTATCCCAGGGGTGGAGCAAGAAATCCGGTTGTATTATATTAATTATTTTTTTCTTATATGAAAAATAATTCTTATCTAGTTTAAAAAAAGAAAAGATATGTAAATATTGTTCTAATCATATTTACATAATTTAATGTGTACATTGTTGGATTTATAAAATATAAGTATTCAAACAAAGATCTTAATATTGAAGGAAAATATGTTACACATGAAATAAAACGAATTCAATTTTAATCTCTTTCATAATATAAAAGACTTGAGACTTGGCATATATTTTAAAAGTTTGTTATATTTGTAGAATATTTTCTGGAAAATAAAAATATAACTTGTAGGTAGGGAGAAGAACGGGCCAACCCGGTCCCCCATAAATCCACCCCTGAATCATTATCTGAATTCAACTTGGTTGGAATGATAAACTAAAATATTATAATTTGTATTATGATAAGTAATTTAGTTGAAAATAACTGGAAAAGATTGGTTGAGTCCAAAGTCTGGGGCCACTCTACATGCAAATAGATAGCTTACAGATGTTGCTGACAAGTTAACTACAAATCCTCTACCTCTGTAAATGAGTTAATAATTGGAACCTTTTCATCTCAAGCTTACTGTTTTTTCAATTGAATGCTTCATAAGAAAGATGGGCCCTGCCCATATGGAAACATCTCCTTAATTTATTGTCCTGGTTTTTCTATTTCAAATTGCAAATAGGTACTTGTAATTTGTTAAAGGGAATCGAATTATTGCATCTATATTCAGCTTATGACACCCACCAACTCTCTCCATGTGATGTTTTCCAAGCCAAATATAACAACTAAAGACCATCACCAAAAACCACTAACATAACTAACAAAAGTTTGGAAAAAATAAAAAAGAGAGAGAGATGGAGATAAAAGAGGACAAATGACAAATACCCCAAAAAATAAGACTCCAACTTTTGTCATCTTATCCAAGCCAACCGACACTACAGAAATTAATAGTTTTGTGTGCTAGCTTTATTTTATACTAACATCATTGTATCTCAACTTATGTGACCCGAATTGATGCATCTGTTACAGGACTAAAATATGCAATATCTGCATACTTTTATGAAGACAAAAAAATGCAATCAAGCTTTCTCTTTATTATAACTACCCTTTTTCAAGAAAAGAGTGGTTCACAATATTTTCCAGTTTCAAGAGAAAAAAAGGATGGCCAAGATTGAAACAAGTAGTAGCATAACCTGCGTGGACTTGACAGGATCACAAGTTATTGATTTTCAATTGCCTAACTATAACAAGACAAACTAATGTAAAGCATAAACTTTGATAAAGCAACGTTTACCATTTAATTTTTAACTAAAAATGAACGACTACACAACTTTATGTCCACATTATCAGTACAATGGCATAAAGATTTTTCCACTCNAAAATGTCAAGTGAATAGTAAATTAAGAATCATAAACAGTGAAAAAAAGGCCCCGCCATAGAAACTTTACGACATAAATTCACAGAAAATACAAGAGGAAATTAGGAGTGAATAATTAATTATTAAGGAGTTTCGAAAGCTCAGGAAAAGTGCTTGTCAACTTATAGCTAGAAACTGCATCATTTTTCCTTTTCTCCCCTTGTTTTACATCTACAATATATTTGATCATCTGAGTAAAAATACCAAATTTCAGCCCTCACACCAGATTTCTCCATGCTTAATTATAAACATCAATTTATATCTAATTAATTGCTCCACTTAACAAACTACTTATTATATCATCAACAACCAATCGAATCTCTTATCAAGTATACCGTCCATAATCTTTCCTTCCACACAAATGCATCAATACCCAACCAAATTACACACCAAAGCACACTTTAAAAAAAAAAAGGTACAAAAACAGTGGAAAATTGAAGTACTTTAGCTAGATGTGAAAACTGACCGAATTATCGAGAGCCAAACGCGCCCGATCGCCATCCTCGACGGAAAACAAGTCGTGAATATAGGATCCAGAGCCTCCAAAGATCCTATTGGGTCTGTTTTGAAAGTTTTCGTCGTCTACAGAAGCAAAAAGCTCGTAAAGCGCCATCTCGGAAGGGCTTCGCCTCAGGCCGCCGCCGACGCCGACGCCGCTGAAAATCGATCTGCTCCCGAGACCTCTTTTCTCTTCGTCCATCGATTATTGATCTTATTTTTCAACTTTTTTCAGCTTATCAGAAGAAGAGAGATCCTGTGCGTGTGCATGTGCGAGAGAGAGTGTGTGGGGGAAAGTAGAGAGGGAAAATGAAGGAAAGGGGGTTTTTGTGTATTAATGGCGCAAAAGTTTGGTTAAAATGAAACGGCAGTGGAGAGGAAGAAGCCAAAGTCGCTTTTTTCTTATTTATAAAATTACTAGTAGGATGTCCGTTTATTCCACGAGTAGTTAAATATATTAATATTTGTATAATAAAAATTAAAATTATTTATTTTTTTATTGTAAAATTATGTATAATATATAAAATAATAATAAATAATTAACAAAGTGATAATTAATTCAATATGACGACGCCCTTATTTTTACTCTAAATTTATCAAAAATGATATTTTTTAATTATATTTTTACAATTACATGTGTAAAACGCATATTATTTACAACTTCATATATTTGATTCAATTTATTTTAAAACAAAACAAAGTTTATGTATTGTGATTATATTTTATATATATAGAATCCGTGACTCTCGTTTATATTTTAAGTTTTTTAATTTTTTATAATTTAATAAATTAGAATATTAGTTTACACATAAATGTTATTTTATAAATTTATGAAACGTCAAATTATTTATTATATTTTAATATGATATTCCTTTATATTTATTATATTTTAAATAACATAAAATGACATTTAGTTCATTATATAATATATTTAAATCGAGAAACAATATTTTATAATATTACTTATAATTTATTGTATGTAACACTTAATTTTCATATTTATCCAAAACTTATGGAAAAATACATTAAATTAACTATTTTATGGTGTATTGATGAATTAGATTTTTATTACTTTTATAAAATCATTTATATTGTTATTTGATATTTTAAAAATTTATATCATAATAAAATAATTATTTTTGTAAAGATAGATAAAATTATTATATGCAATATGGATGTCAAATCGAAGATCGATTTTAAATGTAAAAAATACTAATTCATGATAATTAATATATAAATTAAATAAAAAAATGTAAGAATAGTATATAGTAACTTAAGAAAAAAAAAGTTAAAATAGTTTATGGTAATTCTCAAACCTAGTCGTCAACACCAAACTTGTATATTTGTCCATACGAAGCACAAATTTATAACAAACAAGCTTACGAAGCACACAAATTTACTACTTAAACTCAACGCATTCGGTAATTATATATAAGGGCAATAGAGTAAATTAATTTTAAAAAAATGAAAAATAAGAAAAGGAATCAATCATAGCTTGAGCGATGAGTGTGTGTCCCACTCAGATTGTGTGATGTATTTTCAGTTTTCACTACTTTGATGCTGGCTGAGATTACGGTTATGCCCTTTCGGACGGAGTTAATTGTGACGGTGCCAGATGGGCCTGGTTGCTTCTTAGGATGGTAAATTTGGTCCCACTTTGTGGGCAACACACACCGTGGCCCGCAGTGGGATGAGGCTAGTTAGTCCCAGTCTGGTATGTTTTATATTCTGTATAATAATTTTGGAGAAATAGAGATTGACACCTTAATTCACTCTTATTTTCATTTTATGTCCTAATTATGTTTCATATTCCTAATGTCATTTTGTTTAGGAGTGAAAGGACATGATTTTAGAAATAATACACTAATGTTTTTGTTAGGCTAATCTAAAAGTTACACAACCATAATTTTTCCACACTATTAGACCATCTCCAGCCCTTATCTCTACTCTAGCGCAGACTTTACTCTACTATAGAGTAGAGTGAAGCAAAAATCAAGTTTCGTCTCCAGCCTTTATCTCTACATTTTACTCTACATCAAATATATTATTTTTTTATTTTTTTTTATTTCAAATGAATTGGTATATATATATATATGTATGTATGTATGTATATTTAATCTTATAATAAATATTTATTACCAAAAAAATAAAAATATATTTTATTTGTGTATTTTTTTATTTACGAGTGTTGTAAACTTTTGATTTTAATGAAATCTACTTGTTTAATTGTGTTAAATTTTTATTCATATGGTACCATTTTAATATTAAAAAAATTACAAAATAAAGTTATAATACATCAATAAATAAAAAATACAAAATTATTTAGCAGAAAAATACATTGCACAAAGTTATTCAACATTAAAATATATTTACTAATACACATTATACAAAAATTTATCATTAATATTACATTAAAATACATAAAAAAAATAAAAAAATGTAAAGTTGCTACAGTGTATCTCCACAAGTGGAGATACACTGTTTATAACTTCATTCTGGAGCAGAGAAATAGCATTGGAGCATATTATCTGCATAACTCCAGCGAAAAAGGGTAATTTAGCACTGCAGTGGAGTTGGCCTTATGTATACTTTTAAACTATAAATTCATGTTCTAAACAATAAACGCAAACAAAATTATGATATTTCATATCATAAGGATTTTACATTAAAAAAAGTATGATGAATCGACTTGCTTAATAAAACCAACCCCGGCGACACGCCGATCCAGGGCAGCAGATTTTATTTCTTATCACAAAGAGTTACAAAGGTGTGAATATATATAATACAAGAGTATCTTCCTCCTCAAGAAACTACCTAATATACATGACTAACTTAATATACAAGACTAACCATAAATAACTAAGATTTGATCTTATCAAAAAGGATTATGTAAATATAGAATAATATCTCGAATACTTCCCCTCAAGTTGGAGCATGAAGATCACAAATGCTCAACTTGCGGAGTAGAAAATGGAAGCGATCACGTCCAAGGGCTTTAGTGAAGATGTCGGCAAGCTGAAGGCGGGTGGGGACGTATTTGGCATCTAGTTCACCAGATTGAATGCGCTCCCGAACAAAATGACAGTCAATCTCGATATGTTTTGTGCGCTCGTGGTGAACTGGGTTGGCCGATATATGAAGGGCCGATTGATTGTCGCAGAGCAGACGAATGGGACCAGGAAGCGTGACACCGAGCGAAGAAAGCAAACTGCGAAGCCATATTAGTTCGCTTGCGGTGACGGCCATAGAACGATACTCTGCTTCGGCAGACGAGCGAGAAACAGTTGTTTGCTTCTTTGTGCGCCAAGAAACCGGACAACCGCCAAAGGTGATGAAGTAGCCTGTTGTGGAACGCCGCGTGAGGGGACAACTGGCCCAGTCAGAGTCACAATATCCAGTTAACTCCAATGAAGTTGGTTGTCGGAGCAGGATGCCTTGTCCCGGACTATGCTTTAGGTAGCGAATAATACGTAAGGCGGCATCCCAATGGCTCTCCCTCGGCTGTTGCATGAATTGCGCGAGTAAATTAACTGAGTAGCACAACTCAGGACGCGTGATGGTCAAATAGAGAAGGCGACCAATTAGTCGGCGAAACCGCGCCGAGTCCGTCAGGAAGGGAGCGGAGGAATCTGCGAGTCGAGTCCGCTGTTCCATACGGATAGTTGCCGGTTTTGCGGCTGTGAGGCCGCAATCAGATAAGATCTCCAGCGTATACTTTCGCTGGGAAAGAAACAAACCCTCACTGGTGCGGACGATCTCGATGCCTAAAAAATACTTCAGCGCCCCTAAATCCTTGATCTTAAAGCAAGTAGCAAGATAAGATTTAAAACTTGAGCAACGAACTGAATTATTACCAGCAATAATGAGATCATCAACATAAACAAGGACCACTAAAATATCGGCACCCGAATGGAAAGTGAACAACGAATAGTCAGCCTGTGACTGTCGAAAGCCATAAGTACGGAGTGCCGAGGCAAATTTAGCAAACCAATTACGTGAGGCTTGTCGCAAACCATAAAGGGACTTGCGAAGTCGACATACTGAATTAGAGGAGGATGAATTGTATCCTGGAGGAAGTCGCATGTAGACCTCTTCCTCCAAATCACCGTGGAGGAAGGCGTTGTTCACATCCATTTGGTGAAGACTCCAATTCTTAGCCAAGGCGACAGTAAGGAGGCACCGAACGGTCGTCATTTTTGCCACTGGGGCAAAAGTCTCATGGAAGTCGAGGCCCTCGATTTGTGTAAAACCCTTAGCCACTAATCGGGCCTTGAAGCGCTCAATGCTACCATCAGAGTGTCGTTTGATCTTGTATACCCACTTACAACCAATGGGTTTCTTTCCGAGAGGGAGAGGTTCGATAGTCCAGGTGCCATTGTCTTCAAGAGCACGAACTTCGGCATTCATCGCATCACGCCAGCGAACATCCTTAACAGCGGCTGAATAGGACCTGGGCTCAACCTCAGAATCAAGTGCAGCTAGGAAGGCCAAGTGAGACTGAGAGAAACCATTATAATTGACAAAACGCTCGAGTGGGTAGACCGTACCTGAAGAAGATGATGAAGCGGGTACGGGACAAGAGGGGGTCGGCATAGCCAAGTAACAATGGTAATCGTCGAGGCGGGCAGGCGGGTGACGTGGGCGAGGTGGTCGTCGTGAAAGATGCGGTTCGGGAGGCCCAACGGTGCTCGCCGGGAGCTCAGTAGGAGGCTCTGGTGGAGCCACGACCATCGGAGTGGAGAGCTCAGTTGAAGGCTCTGGTGGAGCCATGGTCGTCTGAGTGGCGAGGTCAGTCGGATGGAGAGGAGCATGTTGTGCAAGTATGGACACGGACGTGTTTGGATCAGACGGGTCAGATCGAGTAGGGATATGGGTCTGTGGAGGACTGGTCGGGCCGACGAAGTCTAATGGGTTGTCCGTAATGGTGGAATCGAGCTGTGATAAGATTGAGGTGTACTCGCGTCCCATGGGGAATTCCAGAGCAGTGGGCTCGGGAATGTAAGGAAAATGATTTTCATGAAAAATGACATCTCGGGAAATGAAGATTTCATGTGTATCCAAATCATAAAGTTTCCAGCCTTTTATAGCATGAGGATAACCAAGAAATACACATCGACGGGACCTCGATGCAAATTTATCAGAAGAACGCGGGAAACTTTTTGCATAAGACAAGCACCCAAAGACACGAAGATGATCATATGGGACCAATTTTCCATGAAGAACCTCGAGTGGTGACTTACCCGATAAAAGTGGTGTTGGGGTATGATTAATGATATATGTGGCTGTGAGAACACATTCACCCCAAAATTTTATTGGTAGATTTGCTTGAAAACGGAGGGCACGTGCCACATTGAGAATGTGACGATGTTTACGTTCGGCACGCCCATTTTGCTGTGGGGGTATAGACACAAGTCTTTTGGTGGATAATGCCATATTTGTCAAAAAGGTTTTGCAATGACCCCGATAAAAATTCTTTACCATTGTCCGAACGAAAAAATTTAATGACACGACCAAAATGTGTATGAATCATCGTGAAAAAGGTAGACAAAAGACGATAAGTGTCAGATTTATCACGCATCAAGAAAGTCCAAACGGCCCGACTATAGTCATCAACAATGGTGAGGAAATAATGAGCCCCAGAAATTGATTTTGTGCGATAAGGTCCCCAAATATCACAATGTAATATGGAAAAGGAAGAAACAGCTCGTTTATCACTAAGTGGAAAAGATGATCGTGCATGCTTTGCACGGTGGCAAGCATCACATACACTATCATGGTCTTTATTAACAGAAATACCCGAAACTAAATGCAGAATTTTATCGGAAGGATGACCTAAACGCCGGTGCCACATTTCGGGTGTCACTCGAATCAAGCTTGATGAACTCGCCACGGCAGCTGTTGCAAACGTATTCCCCGGCTCGATGCGATAGACCCCCCCTTGTAGCTTACCCGCTCCAATCAACGTCTTCGAGGTGAGGTCCTGTAAAAAACACCGAGACGAGCGAAAAGTCACATAACAGTTTAAATCAGTCATAACTTTACCAATAGAAATTAGATTGCAAGCGAAACCGGGGATGTATAAAACGTTTCGTAAAACGAAATTAGGGCCAAACGTTACGGTCCCACGAAAAGTGGCATGGGAGACAGCCCCATCAGCCGTCGTAATAGGATATGGTCCCCGTATGGGCACATGGTCCGACGGAAGACACAAGCGCCCGGTCATGTGTTCGGAGGCTCCTGAATCAAGAATCCACGAATGAGAAATTGTAGCAATATTACCTTCGAGCGGTTCAGTACCCGATGAGGCCTTTACCGAGCCAAGGAGGTTGAGCAGTTGATTGTACTCCATGTCCGTGAGGGTGTGAAGTCTTCCACTGGTCGAACCGCCACCAATCTGACCAGTCTGGGCTGAGTGAGCAGTGGCTGCTACGCGAGTATTGATTTGACCGGTTGTCTTTTGTCCACGGTTTCGGTTGCCCCCTTTACGTCCCGAGCTATTTTTGCTGTGATCCCAATTTTCCGGGTACCCGATCAGTTCGTAGCAACGCGACTTTGAGTGTCCAGTCATTCCACAATGATCACAAACATAGCGAGGGGCGCCTCCTTTCCCAGCAGTGAGAGCGAGAACGTGATCCTTGGGTGCTTCCCGGTCTCGAATCACGGATCGTTGGCGTTCTTCTTGGATTATCAAAGAATACGCCTTGTTGATAGAAGGGAGGCGCTCCATGCTAAGAATTTGAGTACGAACGGCACCATAGGACTCCGCATCAAGCCCCATGAGGAATTGGTGTAGCATCTCGGTTTCCCGTTCAGTCGCGAGCCTTGCGGTCACGCCACAGGTGCACCCGGCGCAGGTGCACATGACCACATCGTTGTAGTCGCCGAGTTCGTCCCAAAGGCCCTTCAATTTCGTGAAATATTCGGTCACAGACTGACCATTTTGGCGAAGTAGACTAATCTCCGCCTTCAATTGATGGATGCGTGGTACGTTGCCTTGTGAAAAACGTTCCTTCAATTCGTCCCACATGGCCCGAGCATCTGCCGCATGTACAACACTATGTTGCAGCGACTTCTCAAGAGAATTAAGGATCCAAGAGGCAACCAAGCTATTGCCCATCTTCCACCAATGATGGTCGGGATGGTCACTGGTCGGTTTGTGGACGGAGCCATCCACAAAGCCTGCTTTGTTCTTCGCTTCTAGAGCACGCCTCACAGCCTTGGCCCATGTCGAGTAATTCTCGCCGGTGAGAATCACTTGTGTCAGTGGCGTTCCCGTGCTATCGGACGGGTACATGTACAAGGGGGAGCCAATCGGCGGCACCTTGCTCTGGTCGGCCATGGCAACGGCGGCTAGTATAACGTCGATGAGAGTTTTGTGTTTTTGATATATCTCTCTGATACCATATGAAAAACGAGAATCGTGTAAATTTTATTTCTTATCACAAAGAGTTACAAAGGTGTGAATATATATAATACAAGAGTATCTTCCTCCTCAAGAAACTACCTAATATACATGACTAACTTAATATACAAGACTAACCATAAATAACTAAGATTTGATCTTATCAAAAAGGATTATGTAAATATAGAATAATATCTCGAATAAGAGACAAAGGTTACGAAGATACATGTGGTGTTGGCAAAATCAGTTTATGTTTTATGAAGATACATGTTTGCTCTATGTCCCTAAACCCTAAAAAAAAAAAAAAATAATAAATAAAAAAAAAAAAAAATTGTTAAGCCAAATAAAATATAATGAGGTTGTCACACCAGCTTTCTTGTTTGCATATGGAAAAACAGTGGTCTAAGTGCCACTTCCCTTTGTTTTCCACGGTTCCTTTTGCCCAACTTTTCTCATATGTAATTTGGTACAAAGTTTAACAAGATGAAGAAATTAGAAAAATATACGCATATATTAAAAGTAGATCTAGAAGCTCTTTCGATAAGATATATGGACCTCTAGCTAGTCAGCAACTCGATTGGAATACTTGTAATATGATTTGAGTTCGGGACACCCTATACGATTAATTCTTTATTCTTAGTTGGTAGGACATGGTATCTATCCGGCAAGGACCAAAACACCTATAGACATTAAAAAAAAAAAATTAAATGAAAACAAAATGACAAAAAATCGTAATCAAAGAAAAAAAAAAACATTTTTGTGTGCAATAATAAAATATTGGGTAAAATAGGAATTGGCTCGATTGCAGCGTATTTTCCCAGATAGTAGTTTGCCATTGAATCTTACGTGTGATGAGATTTTTCTTTCCCTACTTATTCGAATATATAAGTCTCTTCTTGCGTGTGTGTCGTGTGAGAACTGTGAGAACGCTATTTTTAAGTATGTGTAATGCTCTATTGAGTTGAGTCACATGTGCGACATTACCACCATCTGAACACAAAGAATGTATTTCATCCATTGCAATTCAATCACGAATAAAAGCATGTTACGAAAGTCCCGAAATTTGTAACGAATGCACAGAAATTATCCAGACAAGGCAGAGAATGATGACGATCGACCAAGGAGAATGACAGGAGAAAACACTAACATTTAAGGATTAGGAGGATCATTATCTGCGCCTTTGTAAAACGATTCATATGTTGCCACTCGGGTCTTTGGATCTGGCAGCTCCATTTCCTCAACAAAATCTGTCGTCATCTTCAAGAAATCCTTCATGTGCAGTTCTTTCCATTCCTAGTACCAAATGCAATAAACAGCAAAGTGATTGTGCAGGCAACATAGTACTCGCGCGGGAAATTATGACAAGTTGGCCAGTTTAGGTTTATGGGTCAGGCTTCATTAATAGGTAATTAAAGCAGAGAAAATACTTCGTATACGAGATTTACATAGTGAGATACTTCAGGGCTCTAGTAGACACTTTTCTTGTAGCATATAGATGAAACTGAGCTTAATTACCTCAAAATTCCACTCGCCATATAAGTCTGGATCAGTCTTGTTTTCCCATACATACGTGTATGCTTTCAACTTCTCTGAACTATCCTGTCGAAATTAAAAGAAAAGGGATTTTCATTGTCAAAAGAAAAAAACCCACTTAAAGAGTGTCACAGTTGAGTGGTGGGAATTTGTATTAACAGCACAATATCCTGAGGCTTATTTGTAATTTTAAAAATTGAGCAAGTTCTCAAAACTCAAGGTTGTTTTTAAGTAACACTTGAAAAAAAAAAAACCAAAATTAATGTTCAGCTTCTCAACAGATCGAAGAAGGCTACAGTTGCATTTTCACCAAAAATAAGTTGAGAAATGCATGTTCTCTGACTAAAAGCTTCCCCAAGATTGAAGATTTACTCGGCGTTAATAGAAATAGAAACAAAGGTATCAAACCAAAAATACCTCCAAGCAAACATCAACAGTTGTCCTCTCGTACTCAACATCCTCAAACACATCCAAAATATGAAGTTCGGGTGGCGTAATGTCGAGAAGTACCTGAAAACATCCATATAGATACCCACAAGTATAGGTAATCTTGATTTTTCAAGAAAATATTCATCTATACACGTTCTCTTCCATTTTCAATCATAAGTTAGCTATTTTGCGAATTGTTGCTTTAGCCTTTAGATGATCACCAGAAAATGACAATCATACTATTCCACCCGAGTATCTTTGATCCCACCGCATAAAAATAATGGACATCATAACAAGTAAAAACGTAGGGAAAACTCTTAAGGATTGTCCCAAGAGTTTATGTGTCAAGAAATCCTAGAAAACCACAGTCACAATGAGTTCAGTTTAATCACAGCCAACATGTTATTCTGTCTGATGGATTTTCGGACAAACCTTGCCATGGACTTTCTTATTTTCAACCGGTATAATTGCAGGGTAAACACGCTCCTTGATACTAAACCTCTGGCTACAAGAAATAAACAAATAATAATATAGCAGTGCTGCAGAAATAACTCAGTGAATGGGGCAAAAAGAGCTCTTCATATTTCCCATAAATACGGTGATTTCTAATATTCTATATAAATAAACAATTTTCATGAAAATTTTGGGTCCCCCAAAGCAAAACAAGGATTTCAGCTTCTATACAGTGAAAAAAACTAAAACAAATTTGAGTAAAAAGCTCCGTGAGCTGGGGATGGCTTTGAATTTCAATTCTCAAAGAACCAGTCAGTGAGAACAATTTTCTCGTGTCTGTTAGTTCTTTCTCAAACATAAAAATGTCAACACAAAAAACCCCATAAGGACTTGATCACACATCGGCCAGAGGATCGAACGCCTCTGACATGTAGTGTAGTACATCATGCTTTATAGGTTGTACCACTCCGACCATACATCTATTGTTCACGCACAATCACACACACAAGCAGAGAGAGACTGACTAATTGGGAAGGACGGCCGGAGCTGAACGAGGAACGCGACTCAAAAGGGCGCGAACGACGTCGTCGGAGAGGAGGCTGCCGTACACGAAGACGTTAGAAATGGGCGAATGAATTGCAGGGACGGGAGACCCCATCGATGGTGGTAACGATTATGACGTCAGTATTCCGATTTTCTTCGTCACTCGTGCTCTTCACAATCCCAGCAAGTTGGAGGAGATTCTGATTTTCGTTGGCTGTTTTTAACATCGGTTGCGTAGATTTCAGATAGAATTTAGCTATGTAGGTTGGGTATGGTAGCCATGGATTGTATAGATGGAGGTTGGGTACAGACTGAGGCGCAAAGCTATTCAGCCTATTTGCGCCTGTGTTCGATACTGAGACATAGAATCAATCTGTTTTCATTTTTTTTTTATTATTATTATTATGATATTATATTATTTTAAATATTACAGATGAGATAATAATATTAAAAATAATTTTATAAAAATAAATATTGTGTTAATATTAAAATAAATTCTAGAAATTAAAAATTGTGGAATATGAATGTGATTTACTCACTATTGTGGTGATAGTTCACACAATTCAAGAATTTTTATATAAAAAAATAAAAAATATGTTGGGAGAGTTTTATTTAAAAGCATTGATAAATTTTTAAACTCCTGACGCAAAAGTTAACTGGTAAAATGGCTAAATGGATAGTATTTATTTATCCTAAAATTTTTATTGTCGATAAATCGAAAACATTGGCGCCGATTGTCGACTTTTAACTTCCGTTACATAAACTCAAATTCCTCCACTGTTCAACTTTAGAATTAATTTTTCATTCAACTACAATGATATTGAGATTTTGTTCTAAGTCTTCCAATTATGATAAATGGAGTCGAAAAATAGATTAAAAAAAAAAATCAATTTTTCTTACATTGGTAAAATCAGTCGTGTGCCCACCGCAATAGGTAAGACGAAATCTTTTTGTATGGCACCGCTCAAGTACATTGGCTAAAAATTATGCCTTTTTATTGGTTAAATAGTGGTAGCCCTGGTTAACTGCAACTCCTTGCCGGAAATTATCTGTTGGGAAAGTGCCGGTAAAACTTAGGGCATGATTGGATGTAGATCATAATAGGTTTTAACCTGTTTTGATCGATCAAGTTATTTTGTTTTCAACCTCCACACTTAAAATCTAAGGGCATGCTTGTTTATGAAATATTTTGCTCAAAATGAAATAATTTGATTAACTAGAGTTAAATTTAAAAAAGGTGGTACGGTTAGTTGTTAGTGGGATTTTAATGATGTATTAAAATAATATTTAAAATAAAATGATTATTATTGATTTGATGTAAAAGTACATTGGCACCGCTCAAGTAAGACGAAATCAGTCGTGTGCCCGCCGCGATAGGTAAGACGAAATCTTTTTGTATGGCACCGCTCAAGTACATTGGCTAAAAATTATGCCTTTTTATTAAATAGTGGTAGCCCTGGTTAACTGCAACTCCTTGCCGGAAATTATCTGTTGGGAACGTGCCGGTAAAACTTAGGGCATGATTGGATGTAGATCATAATAGGTTTTAACCTGTTTTGATCGATCAAGTTATTTTGTTTTCAACCTCCACACTTAAAATCTAAGGGCATGCTTGTTTATGAAATATTTTGCTCAAAATGAAATAATTTGATTAACTAGAATTAAATTTAAAAAAGGTGGTATGGTTAGTTGTTAGTGGGATTTTAATGATGTATTAAAATAATATTTAAAATAAAATGATTATTATTGATTTGATGTAAAAGTAAGAGATAAATGATTGGAAATGATTGGTAGTTAAAATTATGTGAGTGGATGAATAGTAGTTAAAGTTGATGTGATATGTAAAAATTATTGATTTATATTATTTAATTATATAAATAATATTAAAGATAGTGGAGTTGAATTAAAGTTGAGTTAGATTTTGAATAGAAATATTTTGTAAGCAAAATATTTTATAAACAAGCATACCCTAACTTGGTCTAACTCTCTTACATTTTATAAATAATTAGTATCAATTAATTATCCTCACACATCACGTCAACTTAATTACTATTCATCAATTTCAATAATTCATCTCCCACTTTTACATCACATCAACATTGATGGTTACAAATTGCTTTGGGTATGTTTTTGTGTAATTGATATATTTGTTAAATCTCGAGCATTGTCATAATTTGTGTGATATTTGATTGATTGTTACAACTTATGTGTGAAATTTGTTTTGCGCATTTTTGTTTCTTTCAAAAATTTGTGTCTTGAAAATGGTTTTCGTATAAGCTTTTAGTTTAACCGCATTTGATGGAAAAACTTATTTTGCCATCTGAAAGCAAAAAATGAAAGGTATACTCATTGCAACAAAAAGTTCTTAATGCTATTGATAATTATCCATACTCAGATAGTATAGTATAATATCACTTGTTAAGAAAATTATTGTACATGAGAATAAAAACTGTTATGCAAATCAATTCGCAATTTTTTTATAATAAATAATATTATAAAATTTCCAAAAATTTATATTATTTTTAAAATATAATATTTTAATTTAAAAATATAAATATGCGATGAAAAGATTTAGTTGCTTTATTGTTTGAGTTGCACATGTTTTCTTTGAAAATAAATACAACTGTTGCACAGAACACTTGCAACTTACGTTACAAGTGTATGTGTTACAGTTCACCCTCTTTTTTTTTTGTTTATAAATAAACTTAATTCATATTCAATTCAAATAAAAATAAAAAATTTAACTCAACTTTAACTCTATCTTCAATGTTGTCAATATGATTAATAATATCAATTAATCATTCTTATACATCACATCAACTTTAATTTAATATTTAGTATTTATGCTCTATTAAGTTTAACGAAATATCACTTCACATAATCTATCTCATATTTTTATATCAACTCAACTTTAATTAATTTATTTTAAATATTATTTTAATTTAAACTCAAAATCTCACTAACAATTAATGATACCAGCTTTTTCAAAATTATTTTTAATTAGTTAAAAAAATTCATTTTGAGTGATATATTTGTATCCAAACACTTTAGTATTTATCACTATTTCTCACTAGACAACTTTCTTTATCTTTTTAATATTTATCATTATATATTTTTTCACTTGACAACTTGTTTTGCGATTATACAACGGGCACCCATTTATTGTCGGAAACCATTCGTTACATGGGATAAGATTTGACTTCCAAGCATTGATTAATCTTTTGAGGGGAAATATTTATCTATATTTAGGGTAATTATCAACTAATAAATCACACAATGTGGTGGGTTCCATTGCTTAGTGCCTTCATGCAGATATTTTTTAACATCTATGAATCTAAATTAATACAAATTTCGTAGTCGGTCTAACCACTAAACGAATCAATCAATCATATATTTTTAATAAAAATGCATAGATATACTATGAAACGTCTTGCGTTTATTTATATTATTTTCTAAAGTATAATATTTAATTAAGTTTGAAAGTATGCATATTGTAAATAAAAAAAAATATTTGTCTAATAGTTAGGTACTTATAGTAGTCGTACTGTCAAATTAAAGCATTATTTTATAGCAAAAAAAAAATAAAAAAAAAATACTGAACTGTTAGACAACCATTTTTCATACAAAATATCATATTTAAAAAATATACAATTTCATGCGACTGGGTCAACCCGCCTAAGAATAATTATCTCGCACCAGAATTTGTGTATATACTATTATATATGCCATTTCATTGGAAAACATTTGGTCTAACAAGACTGGGCCATATAGAGGATGATATTCCAGTAAATTTCACCTAATTAAGCCTCAATCAATAACTATGTTCCAAAACATTTTGAAATTTGGAAGCAACAAATGAATCATGATACACATAAGGACAACATTGGCTGGCAACTTCAGCATGACAGGAGTCCATTTTTCTTTTCTTTTCTTTTTTTCTTTTTTTTTTTTTGGCAATTATT